CAGCTTTCCTTTTTTTCTGCTGTTCTCAAGCCTCACCTAAACAAGAAACACTCCTTCTTTTAACAAATAACTCATTTTTCCTCTAGAAGAAAATATCAAATCTCCAACTTGAAAACCTGAAGGGTAACAAAGTACCATAGGGTTCATGATGTTTTTTTTCTCTCTCAGCTGTCTCATATCCAGAGAGAGACAGTAATTATTGTTTTACCTCTCACCTAAGACATAGATAAAAACAGGCTGGAGTTGCATTGCTGTTTTGCACTACAACTGCTTGTTTTCAAGGCTGTCTGAGCTACTTGAGTGCTTTTTGACAGTAATGCTCCCCAGGTGCAAACAGACCTTTTCCTCATGCTTAGAAGGAGGCCACTTAGATGTCCCCAGAGCTTGGGTCCATGCCATACCAGCAGTGTTCCAACAGTGTTCACATTTGCAGTGGTCCCTCGCAATCTGTTCCTCTTGACATCAGCACAGTGCTGAGTGACATTCCCTTTCCACCTGCGTGGACTGCACACGTACATGACTAGATTTCAAAAATACAAGCTTAACAGAACTGAAACAACAGTAATCACATTAATTGCTTTTAATCTCTGCTCTTTTTAGCAACTGTCTTTATCCCAACCACCAAAGAATCTCCTGTTACAGCCAAGCAGTTATCTACTGTCTTCTCCTGATGAACTTGTTGCTTTCTCTACCTTCTACTTTTCAGCCTTCAAGGAAACAAGTTCTAGCAAACATTCCACCCTACAGGCATCTCAACATAGCCTTTTGGTCCAGTTTTTCAGCGTTTTGTCTGAGTGTCTGCATCAAGACCTCACAAGCCTCCCAAATACCCTTTAGACAAAGGAAGACTTCTTTTTTTTCCATTCACAAAGTCATCAGCTTGGTTCAGGTTTTACCCCACTCACCTTTTGTAGCTCACTCCGAAACCGCTTGCAGTTATACGTTCAACAATGCTAGTATGCTCAACTCTTGCACTGTCTCTGGCTTGGGCAGGCTGTCCCCCAGGTGTTCAACAACCACATCTGGGCTGCTAATTCAACACTTCTCTACAGCTCCAGCATTACTTTGCCATGTGGTACTTGTCTGAGCTGAGTACAGCTCTACAGACTTGGCTCAGGTATAGCAAAGTTTAAATAACTCTGCATCAGACTTAGACTTGGGAGACCGAAGTCAGCTGGAAGCCATGGCATTCATACCACAGCTGCATCAATTCCTAGTCAGGCAAAGAGGATAACAAAACGCAGACTTGGGGACTTTGCAAACACACTATTCCACAGTGAATTACAGTCTAGTCATGCCTAACGTAAATAAAGGCCAGTCCATGCTGTGTCACGCATGAGATACAGCAGAAGAGAAATGCAGAGAAAAACAGACAACACTGAAAGGATCACAAGCACAGGGTGATGAAGAAACTCCCAAAGTAATGTCTGCATTTTTTATCCTGCAGAGATTGAAGTCACAGACAAGCTGGAGAACCACTGAGATGAAGACATCGAAGCAGTAGGTCCAGCTCAAATTTTCAGTGCTGAGAGAAGCGCAAGATGGATGTAAAATAGATGGAAGGAATACTCAGCCAGATCCATGGTGGGAAAAATGGCAAAGTTGCAGAGTTGGAGTGTGAAGACCAGAAAACCCCCTAAATCTTGAAACAGAGTAATTGTCAGAGGGCAGACTAGCATGTTCTTCCTCTGACAGTAGAAGTGATAGAGTGATATAACCCCAAACACACTAAGCTATGATGAGCAGCAAGGGCGAATGGAACCTAAAACAGTTTGGACTAGTCCGTAACTGGAAGTTGCCTTCAGTAGATACCTGAAATGATCATGTATGTCTTGGCAGTTAAGAGTAAGTATTGGTTTCATTACAGAATGCGTTACATCAGGTGAGTTTGGGAATATGCTGGAAAATCCCAGTAGGATGAATGAGAATAATATCATGCAAAACAATATCATCGCACATGGCATTTGCAGGGGAAGAAGGCAGCATATGAAAGAGGTGCTGGAGCTGAAAAAAAGCTGCAAGGAATGTGACATCTGCTAGATCAGATAAAGATACAGCTATGTGTCTGAAGGAAGGACGTGCCGTACAAGCACAGTATTCCAGACTGACACCCATGATGTTCATGGAAGAAGGAGAAAAGCATATGAAGTGAGACAGCAAATGCTAATCGTAATACAGGAAAAAGGACAGCAAGGGCAGACTTGCCTGGGACATCAGCAAGCAGTAGGGGGTTGTTAGTACTGCAAGTGTGACCAGGGAAAAAAGCCTTAGATGAGAAAGTACCCCAGTTAGAGGATGTGTCACTGCTGTCTGCTTTCACAACAGGAGCATGAAAAGTCAGCACCAGCCTAGGAAATGGAGGAGTGGAGTCAGGCCAGGACTTGGAGGACAGGATGATTCTCAGGAGAAAGGATCATTTTCTCTCTGCTTTAGAAACTGGACTGTTGACTGAAGGTTCTGGGAAAAATACCTGTGCACAAAGAATGTATAATTTGGGATAATACAGTTTCATGTAGAAGGTATCTAGGCTGGGAGAGCTGGAGAGTGACTTCTGAAAGGGTATACAAGCCTGCTGTATCAACCTCAGGCCAGCAAAGATACCAACCATATCATTCAAGACTTGTACTTGATTCCTCTGAGCTTTAATTGCACACTTGTAAATAAAACATTAATGAAATGTCTTCTTTAAAGCTTGATATATATTAAAATATTAAGAGGAAGACAAGAACTGTGAAAACCACATTGCCCTACTGGTCTGTTCAGGCTTCAGCTCTCCTGAGGGAGAGACTGAAGAAACAACTTATACTTTATGCAAAGCCCTAGGACCATGAATGCTTCTTTCCAGGCAGAATAAAAAGGATAAAGTATGAAATATCTGGGGCACTCTGCAGCAGGATTTCTGTTGATGTCAGGTGTATTTTCCTAGCAGAACTGACCACCTGCTGCTTCAGAGATGCTGACTCCCAAATAAATGTCTTAACCTCCATTTTGCAGAACTATCTACCAAAAAAAAAAACAAACAACAAACCAACCCAACAAACAGAAACAATAAATTGCATGGCTGCTTGTGGGAAAAAGAGGAATGGTGCCCCAATATAATTGCACAACTTATTCAGCTTAAGCATCCCACCACAAAGCATCCCTTTGAAGACAGTTACCAGGCTATTTCTGCACTCTGTGGAGATATGCAGGCCCTTTGGGTGATTCATCTCATGTGATGGCACACAACAGAAATAGCTGGATGAAATCCACTTTGCAAATACCTCCCCCAGCAGTTCATTTCCCAACTGACCTTTAAATAACAGGTACATCTAACAGTGGGCTCTTGCCACACTGGGATGGAGACTACCCACTTAAAACCTCTTCACAGCTTTCCCAATTTACAGCCATACTCCCATCTTTGCACAAAAAGAGCCAAAACTGAAAAAGGAGATGCCTTTTTTCTGCCAACAAGCCCAAGATGCTGTTTGCTAATGCATTTCCCTTTGCAGCTTCAGCTGCACTGGAGAACAAGGAAAATTCTGTGCTAACTAAAGGAGTGAACAGTTCATGCATAACACATTCTGGTTTGCTGCTGAGACGGATGGCAGAGGGAAATGGTGGTTCTCTCTGTAACCTTTGTACAACTGATCCCCCACTAAATTAGCCCCAGAGAAGCCTGTTTGTAGCAAAGATGGAGAGAGATCCAAGGGCAACGCACACAGTTAAATCAATATGAACAGAGGCATTTGTAGTAATGGCATCTTATGGCCATCTTTATCAACAAATCTCCAGTGCAAAATGAAACTACACTAGCACAAACGCCTTCGGAGTGGGCTGAGGGATGAAAGTACACCTCCATGTTAAGTATGCTGCCTTCCCCTTCGCACTGATTTGGGAATACATATATAATGTTAGGAAAAATTAATCATATACACTTAGCTCCCCTGCACTCTGCAGTCAATACTACTAACAGCACAGTCAAAATTCTCAAAGCCTATCCTTACACTATTACACAGGCAAAACTCATTCAAAAATCAGTGGAAATAATGGGTGAATAAAGACTGGAAAAGAACCAAAATCCCAATTCAACTCTCAGCTGATCTGTTCAGTGTGACCATCAGCAATGGAAACATTTTCCATTTTCACCATCATGATAACAGTTGGGCTCAGTAATCCAAATTTTGCCTCCTCGTAATTCCAGCATAAACTGGGTAGAGACGCAAACCAGAATTTAGCATCTAATTTCTCAAGGTTAAGCCATAAGGTAATTGTACTAAACTGGAAACAAATCAGTCTCTGAGGTTTTTTTCCCTCCTCTTACTGTCATTTTCCCATAACTGACTGAAAGGACTTTTTTTTTAAAAAAAGTTCATATTTCCTCTAGTGCCAGGCACCACATTGTGTTTGGCATGCCTCTATTTCTGTACGTCTCTGATAGCCTTTCCTCCACAGATGTCTATATAAAGTTCACATTAGTCAGTTCTTCAAACTAGGTATGAACATCAATGCAGACGATTTTGTTCCAAGCACACAGCTTTTCTTACGTATGTGCTCTGCTGTTCATTTTTGCTTCCACAGAGACCACAGAATTGCTATGTACGTAGAGCAATCACAATGTCTGTGATGCTTAACGCAGGCAGTATGCTCTCATAACGGCTCATTCTCACCGTCAGCAATGAGGCCTGACACCACAGCAGCTTATGGCAGTTTGCTGGGGGAACACGGAGGTTTCTTTTTGACTAAGGGGTTGTTGTTTTTTTTACCTCTTTTCCTAATTCCCTTCCAGAAATGACATTCCTTGAAAATGCATGTGTAAAAATAAATGAAGAAAAGAAAACAGGAAACAACCAGCACAAAACCTCCTCCCAGTTAATACTGTAACATTTCTTGTGTAAATGATTAGGGTCTGGCACCATCTGAAGTGAGGAGAAAAAGGGGCAATATATTTGACTCATTACAGCCATCACAAGAGTTAGAGATACAAAAAAAAAAAAAAAAAAAAAAAAAATTATAATTACCTCTGTTGAGTGAAGCTGAACTGTTTATATCTCCAGTAATAAAGGAAGACTCGGACTGCTTTCGAACTGTGTCGTTCCACATCCTACGAATCCGGCTCTGAAGAGGGATTGAACCACAGCAGGTAATGAATTTTTAGCAGCTGCAGATAGGTTTCTTTCTGCCTCACTAAAGATGGGCTATTGGGGAGCCTAGCTCAGGATGAGACTTGTTTCTATCCAGCTGTAAGCAAGCAGTTGCTGTTTGGTTATAACCATCTTGTGCATAACAGACACTGCCTGCCTAACTTCATAACACAAACACCTCTCTCAAATAAGAAATGCATAATAAGATTGCTCACTTTGCTTACATCTTAATTAAAAAAAAAAGCAATAGAAATTACTTGTGAGAGGAACCCAAACCCATGCAAGCTCAAGACTTTCCAATATTGCATCAAATAACTGAAAAATAACTTACACACAGAAGCACACACATTTTCCATATTACCTAGGATAGTCTGTGTCAATTTTCTGTAAAGCATAACAGAAGAGTTGATTTGTTTCTTGGTGTCCCTGAATGCGTAGAAGTTTTTGTAGCTACCATCCATCTTGGGGAATGTAGGTAAAAAAACCCACAGCAAATGAGTAATTTCTATTCCCCTACTGAAAAATCTGTAATGATTTTGCTATCAGTGTTAGGGCTTCTGCTGCTGGAGAAACAATGTTCCAAACATGTTGGCCTTCTGTTTTGTTTCTCAGATACGAAGTATTTACTTCTGTGGCTTTTACACCACTGCCTCGCTCTCCCCCAACTAGACCTTTCAAAAAAATCAAAAAGTCAGCTGTGCACATCTTGTGAATGTCCTGCTGCAGACTCACGCCTAATCTCACAGAGTATGATGGATGTATCCCACAGCTACATGAAGGGGATGCTAGGCCATCTTGGAGATCCAGAATGCTGTTTGCCACTGTGACAGACTATGCTTCTCCTAGTCGCTGAAAAGCCAGTGCTCCCCATAGTGGGGTCTTATACATGTGAGATCTTCCAGGGCTTCTTCTCCACTCATTAACCATGTACTAATGGCATCTCCTAAGCATGCATTAGCCCTCTACAAATTGAACCAGAATGTAACACGCCCATGGACTTTTATAGCAGTTCTTTTTCACCTGGACATTTAATCTATTGCATTCCTCTGACATGATCCATATGGATTAACTATTCTAACCTAAGTGTTTTTCAGAGAAAAAAACGAAAGAGATCTAATGAGTTGTGCTCCTCTTGGACTTTTCGTAAGTCAGGAGTCAGATATATCCTACAGCGCAGATCTCCATCCACTCTCTTTCCCCCATAAGAGGTTTCTCCTGCCTGTGATAGGGCTCAAACACTTTCATTCTTTCCAAGAACAAGCTTGTAACAGAAAATAACCAACCACAGTACCTCAAGCACTCCCTATGACAAGGGGACTGCCCTCAGGACTCATTGCAGTGCTGAGGCTGCCAAGGAGGAGACCCACATAAATGTTACTGGATACAGTATCTTTTTATGTTATTGATTACTATGGGATTTGATGGCCTATTGGGGAGAAGCTCCATGTTCTATTGCTGTTATTTGCCCTGTATTACATCCACACCTAAGTAAATGCCAAAATGGAGTTCTTGGATGACATTTTGGAAGCCATTGAAAATAAATAGCAATTTGCTCCAAGACATAAATCACAAACTGTGTTTTCCTGAGAGGTTATAAACTGGTATTTGCTGCATGAGTTTCATAGTTTAATAGCTGAACTGTCACATATAATTACTTCCATTAGTAATACTGAATAAATTTGTATTTGGTTTCTATTGATTAAGAAGTAAGCTTCTTCATTCTATATGAACCGTCCTTTCATAAATCTGTATCTGTACATACAAGTTTAGCTTGAAAATGACTAAATGTACAAGCTACACAAAATATGAAATTAGGTGACCAAAACATAACAAATCCTGTGACTAAATGAGATAATCTGGCCCCAGTGGATTACCTTAAGAGATAAGCTGAGGAAAATCAAGTGAGGTAATGGAACCGATCAAACCACTGAATGTCAAAAAGGAAGCCTTTTCACTATGAAAGCTATTGCAGCACTCTTGTAGTCTTTCTTTTTTTCTTTCTTTCTTTTTTTTTTTTTTTAAAGCAAGAAAAACAGTTGTTATTTTATGATTTCTGTACGTGGTGATAACAGTGACAACAACCTTGAGATGGCAATTAAAGGACATACTGGGTTGCAGTACAGCCAACAAAATGCTCCCAAGCTCCTGATCTCCATGGAGAGCAGGCAGGAAAGCTCAGGTTATGAGCGCTCACCTGCCTCTGAATGGCAAATGTGGACTTTTTGTGCTTACTGCAATTATTCAGGAGGTTCTTGGAGAGGCACTAATTGCAAACAGATCCCAAGAGAAGCAACCATGTTGAATTCAGGTCTGGGAAAGGGGGAAATCTCTGCAGCTGCAATGGAGGTAGCTCTATGGCAGCTTCTTGGGCTCCTACCAAACTTGCTGGAGGGTGAGGCACAGAGGAGAGCTTCCCACCCAACACGGAAATTGATGCAGAAATGCCGAGTCCTGGGGCAAGGACAAGAAGCATGGGTTACCTGTGAGCCTGTGGAATATCTTCCAGGTGTCCGTGACCCCGAGGTTTTTCCTGAGCCAATAGAGCTCTCTGTACTTTTCCCACTACAGCAATGTGTGCGCAGGCATTTTCCGTACTCTTTACGTACCTAGCCAAGGAAACAGTAATGGTGGTTAGTGGGCAGCTCCTCCTCCAACCCACAGCCTTAAAATTGCCAACATGGCTGCTGATTTTTCCTTGGTGGTTCATTAAAACGATAGCTATTGTGGGAAATGAGCCTATTACACCTTGCAGCTGACTGCTCCTGCAGTGTTAGCTCACCATTTACGAGGGCGTAAGGGACTGCTTTTATCTGGCAAAGCTGCTCATTGACACCAGTCAGTTGTAGCTACCTCTGAGGCACATCAAAGGAGCACTGCAGAAACTACAGATACACTATTTATGACTGAAAATTAATATCCTCATAGATTTGATGTAAACTGGCATATTGGCTCATCAAGGTACTAAAAGTTATTGCTTTTGGCAGGGGACTAAAAAGAAAGATTCCAAAAGAAACATATAAGAGCTATTGATTTTTTTTCAAAAAAAAAAAAAATATATATATATATATATTTTTTTTTTTCTTGCAGTTAAACTGAAATTTGATGAAACCATACAGCCAGTAGCACTAGAGACTGTATTCTCAGTCTGTAGGGGCAGCTAGAGCCTGCTTCTCGACAGCACTGTGCCAGGCATGTTTTAAATGGGCACCGCAGGCAAACCTAGCCATCTCTTCACCTGCAGAAAAGCAATGTCACCTTCATGGGAGCTATGCTGAGCTGTGCCAGGGCAGGAGCTGGGCTTTGACTGAGCTTCATGTCTGCGAAAGTGTGACTTTAATAGGCAACAACACCCGGCAAGTAAATGGGGCTAGGCTGAAAATGAACACATTGCACTGAAAAACCAAAAGCAGGTCATGTAGCCCATTGATGAAAAAAAATAATACACACATGACTAAAACACCAGTTGTGATTACTTGGAGCACACAGTTAGCTGCAAAATTTCTCTAGACCATCTATGAGCATTTGAAAACTCTGCAGAACAACTGTTTAAACAGCAAATTACAGCTTTTTCATTAGGCTTTTCCTTAAGAGCCTGAGACAAACACAATACCACGAGTGCCCAATACGCTCGAGTGCCTAATCAATCCTTTGCTGAGGGAAAATAATTCAATTGCTTTAATTAGCCACCCACTGCTTGCCTCTCTGCAGCTTTCTGCTGATTTTCTAGTCCATGATAGATAGGATTTTTTTTTCTCCTCTCAAACCATTCCTCTCTCAGCTCTCGGATCAGAGAGATGTATCTCCCCACAGCCAGCTACTGGCTGCACTCTCCTCTCCTCTATGCAGTTGTAAATCAGGAGCAACCCCAATGGCATCAGTGGTGGTTTAAGAGCATAGACTGGCTTGAGGCAGAATGGCAGAAGGGATTTGAATGCCTAGTGAGCACCCTGACAGCCAAAGAGGGTACAGTGCCATGATGGGATGCTGTGCTAGAGACTGAGGCAGCTTAGTTAAACTGGCAGATTGGGACTCAGATGTATCCGCATGTAAACTCTTCTATATGCTTATCTTGGATATAGAGTTTGGCCTGTGAAACCAAGATGTGCATCAACAATTATCAGTAGGTTTGCACAGACTGAGAGAGATCTGCACTACTGAGTTCCAGTGGAGAATAAAATGGTTCTTAAAAATATTTATTACTGACTGTCAAAATTTGATCTACATATGCATGAGGAGATTTTTATTTCTCTTTTTCCAACTGGGGTTTACCTAAGTTATTCCACTGTTACCTCGCAATCTTAATTGGGGCATATTTCAAGTTCCACCAAGTACTTACTGTGCATGGAAGATTTTCAAAAACCCACATTATGACCGAGCTATGCAAAAGCTAGTGAACTGTTGCAGAGCATGGGTCCTTCTGCTCTTAAAAAAGTGGGAGAAGCAGCCCGTTACATACTTTCTCCAGTATATACTGCTACAGAAAGGAGCTGTTTCCTGCAAGGACTGCAGATGAAGACGTATAGCCCCATTTTGCTGTGACACGAGAGGACCCTCTGGATGCTCGTGGTGCCACTTATGCCTCACACTGGTGTAAGGAAAAGGAGAATGTGGCCAATAGCAGGCAGAGCCTTTCTGCAGGCTTGCTATCACAAAGCCCTGCAAAGCACAAGTTGCCTTGTGTGCTGCCTCCAATGTGCTCATCGCTAGCACCCTGGCTGCTGAAATGCCATTGCCACATATCTTTGTTATTGCCTCATTCCCCTGCACCTGCCAGTTTCCACTCTAAATACCACCCCTATTAGGCACACGGAGACAAATCTGCTCGATCTGAATTCAGGGCACATGCACAACACTATGCTGTGGTTGTTAGGCAACAAAACACACTGTTACCACCGCTTGTGCTGCTGAGAACCGTCTGTCTTACCTTTTTCTGGAGGACACAATGGAAAATGAATATAAACATTCCCTGTAGAGAATTGAATATGGTGAAGAGATACGCCATGATGACTGTGCTTTCATTAATATACATGAGTCCAAATGCCCAGGTCAGTCCTAATAGGCAGAGCAGGGCTATCGCACCTATCACCCAGGACCTGTTAGAAGAAAGAAAAAAAAAAAAGGAAAGGGATTGGTCTTTCGTCTATAAAGCGTGGCACATGTCTGCAAACAGGAAGAGCTTTGGCCATGGTTTTAGCAAAAAGAAAATAGCACACCAAAATGAGCTGTAGGGACTTTTGTCTTCAGTTGGATGCAGTTTACAAGTCTTTGAGCTTGAGTAAATATACGGAAATGGAAACGTTATGAGAATGGAAATTCATCATAACCAAAGCATCTGCAGTGTTTCTGGCTTTTTTTCCCCGTTTGTTTAATGTAAAAGCAATGTTTATGTATATGACACAATGTAGATGCCGTTTCTGTAAATGGCAGGAAAAAAAGAAAATAAACCAACTAAAACAACTCTGAATGTCACTTTTTTAATGGCCACTGGTTTGCCTGGGGCAGGAGCACTAGCTGGATTAGCTTCTTTACAACTACCACCAAGACACATTTACTGCTGCCCTTTAGCTGGTCTCCCGTAAGAGAGCCAGCCAAACTACAACAAGCAGGTACTTGCCAGATCAGCTCCTTGCAAGGATGCTCTCTGACACTGCTTCACACTGCTCCATGGTGAAGGAAAATACAGACACGCATATATGTGCCCACACAGCAAGCTTCTGCAAGGACAGACAGCATCCAACTGTCTTTCCACTCAGGGAAATGGTGCCTGTCTACTCCTTGGAGGGGCCAAGGACAACCAGAGGACCTGGGCCATGGGATTGCTGTTGCATATCATTTTTCAGTTGGATTTTATGCAAGCTGGGAGGGCAGGGGAAACATTCCACATTTTCCCGCTAAATAACAGTTAATCATGTGCTAAATTGACTTCTCAGAGGCTGATCTTCCTATACCAGAAAAAGAGGTAAGCAGCATGGAAGCAGAGTGGGGACCAGCTCCTTCTCCTAACCACCATCCTCAGTTTCCATCTGCTTAGTTATCTTGACTTTATGAGGATGGCTGCCATGGAGGGGAGAGAACCAGCTACCAGCTGGGAGACACAGCTGCGCAGCAAGCAGCACTGTGAGCATCCCTTTGACCTTTCCCTCATGATCTTGATTCTTTCCTCTTCCCTAGAAACAAGCAGATACTACATCATAAAAAGGAATGTAATGATACCAATCAGTGATGCCCACTTCTGCACTCCTTCCTCACCATTAACCCTTTGGTTCTCCAAAGCAGATAAACCTGCAGCCAGCCAACGTCTCTGCTTCTCTGACCGCCTGAAGCAGCTTCAGCTGTTACCAAAAGGCTCATGGAACAATCTGCCTATGTTTTGGTTAACTGGGATACTCCAGTCCCACAGAAACATGAATGGGGTCTGGGAATATCTGGGTTGCTCTCTCCTAGGCAGGGCATGGGGTAGAGGAGAGAAAGATGAAGCAGCAGTAGCTCAGAGGAAAAAGAAGCTCAGTGCAGGGCAGACTGACAGTCTCCCCTGTTGAGACTCCACAGCAGCTGCAGCTCTGAATCCCCTTGCTTTTAGCAGGGCTTGTTGCAAACAGAAGCACACTGCTGTTCTATTAATGTTTACTGTTGTTTTTCTTTAGGTATTAGAATGAAAATACAGCAATATTCCTTCCACTGGAGTTTATAAAATATGTATTTTCTGAGCACATGGCCAGAAGAGCTCCCCAAGGTAACTGCTTACTTAGGCAGTTCTTTAAAAATCACTATTATGTATCTATCAGACCAGAACAGTTCCTTTGAAGCATTTCCAGCCAATCCTGCTAATAAATATTTAGCATGATGCAAATTGAAAATGCATTCTCAAAATCCTTTGGAAAGGTAGACACTAGATAACATTTATAGCATTCACCACTTGGTATATTTTTCTCCCTGAGATTCCACCATCAGTGAGAGTACATTATAATCTTAATAGTATGCCAATTTTAAAAATACTAATCTTTTTATGTTCTTAATTAAAATAAAAAAAAAAAAACACAAAACAAAAAATACCAAAAACAAATGAAGTGAAAAATACTTTTTTTTTTCCTCTCCCTTTTCTTTCTCACCATGATTAAAAGGTTCCTCCGTTTACAAAGACTTTTAAAAACGATCCACCAAATATCAGGAAATTATTCTGCCCTGCACTGCAGCCAACTCTTGAACCCGATTAAAGAGCCTTAGGCTGCAGATGTGCGAAACAATTATTGAGCAATGAGAGTGGAAATATGCTACCTTCAGTGATGGAAAGGAATCTTTGGGTTAGAAGACCCTCAACAGTGCAAACTGTACGAGATACAGGATTGTGCTTCAGAAAACAGACCTGGAGATAAAGAGGGCATGGAGATTACTTTGAATGGCTCCATCCCGTGCCCGCAGAAAAAAAGAATCAAGAAATGAAAGAGAATATGGGAATGATGCTGCAGGAATGAACACAAAGGACTCTTCACCAGAAGAACAAACTGAAAGTCTACTGCAAAGTTGGTCAGCTTTTATTCCGTGTTACTGTGCTTTGCTTTTTGGTTGCAAGAGAGAAAGCACGGATGCCTAAAGGCATGTAATTTCTGAGCATTTTTTGCTTGTTTTGCAGGATTTTTTTTTTTTTTTTTTGGTGTGGCTTGTTTGTGGTTTTTGTTTTTCTTTGTACAGACTTGCTGTTGGTTTTCCACAATTTCTCTTTTCCATAGTGCAATTTTGTAACAATAAAGAAACAAACATATAATGTTTTGGTATAATTGAAAATTAGAGACAATTGGGTACTCCACTGTGGAAGGAGATTATCCGCTGAATACAGATTAGTTTGCACTGCACCCATCAGCCAGAATGGGAATCACGTGGGTTATCACTCATGCACTTCTCTGAAAATTTTCTTCTGTATTTACATTACCACAAAGCACTCTCAGTGCTGGAGCACAGTGGACCAGAAGGTTGCTATTGGTGTAACAAGTCTGTATTAAACACCATTACTTCAGAATGTTCTCTTGAATTCAAGTAACGCCCAATCAAAGAATACACAGCCAATATAGTAGCAATCGGTTGGCAATACATATGCAGAACATTTACTCTGCATGATAGCTGTATGCCTGGCCATTTTTCTGCACAGTTTGCTCTTCTGCCTCAAATGCGAATGACAGAAGCTTTAATGATTTTTCAATATTGATCTGACAGCTGGTTCATGGGACCACACTGATAAATGAAATTTATCAGCCATTCAGGTCATTCTTACTTGATGAAGGGTCTGTTATCCTCATAGCTAAAGAATGCGTAGACATAAAGACAAGAACACCAACATTAGAAATATAATGACATATAGAGAATATAGCTTGCTGCTCATCCCCCCTCCCTTCTCCCATTAGCCACCACCAAAACAAAAGCAAAGAGCATCAGGTATCATCAGGTATGCTTGGTACATGTGAGCCAGTCTGGCTCGCTGCCCTGTGACGAGTATGGCTTTGCACATGGAAGCGATCATGACCAGCTGCAAGCTGCAGCCAGCCCTCCTTGACTTGGCTCTGACAGTGGTCATGCAACTGTCAATTGACTTGAAATCTCTGTTAAAAAACCTGGCTCTCACTGAAGAAGACTACCTTTGGAATTCCAGTATAGCTACACAGAAAGCTTGCACACATTCTGAAGATAAAATCTCACTGCGCTTCCAGTACTCTCCATCTGATACGTTATAGTGTGTTACTGGAACCTCCTTACTGCTCTTTTCCACAAGTGTAACTCCCAACATACTAGTCAGACTACAGCATTATCTTCCTTTTGAGAGAATGGCTTCAAGATCTGCCAGCCTCAGCCTGGCATGGTCACCCACAGTCTTTGGCACAGGAAGGGAAACATTGTTTTATGGGCTGATCCATCTTTTATCACTTGCCCTAAACCCATGCTGAGCAGTGAGATACAAGTTGATGGGTAGTAGTCTTGTAGACTAAAAAAAAAGCATTATGTAGGTTGTAAGGAGATCATAAGCAGCTTTCAGAGCTTTATGCATTAGCATGTGAGCAGATAGGTCTGCTGAAGTTGGCACCTAAACCTACGTCTGGCCTCAACAGTGCCCATCTGCAGCAAGAGGCCACACCGTGGGGACAAGGTGGTTGTCCCAGTGTCACTGACAGCTCTATTCCAGCTTGAGCTGTAGTATCCTGGGCCTGAACTTGCCTCCATCCTTGTCAGTCACTGATGGCACCCCCAGCTCTGCTCCAGCATCTAGCCAGCCACTTCAGCTTCCTGGGCTGCTGTCCCTGCAGGGTTTCCCCCTTGTTATCAGCTGTCACACTGAAAGCTGATCGCCTCACATCTTGTGTCACATCAGCCAGGTCTGAAAGAATATCCAAGCTACCCCATGGCAATACATGCTATTTCAGTATGTGGCCACCAAGATTATGGTCCTGCAGAGGACGACAAGGCACAACTAGCAGCATGGTGTGGCAGCTCCCCATTAGTTGCAACAATGGAGTCTTCATCCCATCCCAGCTAGTTGTATGATGCTGTTCAAACTCCTCTGGTTTTTATGGTAAAGATGTTATGAAATGTTGCTGGTGATAGCTTTTAAGAAGAGAGAATTAGATAATTTTTTTTTGCCCTATTTTTGCTGTCCAGAGCCTCACCAAGTCTCTTCAGTGAACTGCAATAGCTTTTCTTCAAGGCAACTGAAGGCTCTGTTTTATCTTTATACAGAGGAGAAATGTGAAATCGGTAAACTTGGGTTGCTTTTTAGCTTGAGGCTAACACTGGGGAGAACTGTCAAATACACCCAAGCAGTTTGTGCCCCATTTCCAACCCATTTGGATGTGGTTGTGCCTAGGAAAGTGCCCAAAGCAAGTGGATGCTTGAAGAAGTGAGATATTCAAACACCCAACTCCCAGGCACTTCAAATCCCTACATGCATGGCCTGTAAGACTTAGTCTCTTACATCTCTCATGAAATACATATCTTTCCTTTTCATTTTACCAACTGAAGTGCTGTAAGAAGCTTAACACTTGTGTTAGCAACAATTCCAGTCTCTCAAAAATTACTCCAGAGTGTTTTTTTTCCAGGTAAAGTCTGTGAA